CCATCGGTTATCGGTTCTTCGAGCTATATGGCCGGCCCATTGCCACTTCAGCTTACTAATCCGTTGGGCTATGTCGGTCACTCTGGTTTTACTGCGGATATCCTCATTTCTGAGTCTATCACGCAGAGAAACTCCGAGCATAGCCCTCTCCATAGCTCGCTGAGCGACCTTGAGCGTCCTCATACGGCCAGCAGTGAAGGACCACGTCTCTGATCCGTAAGTCATCACTGGCAACACGCACTGGTTGTACACTTTAGTTTTCAGAGATTGAGGTATACCTGACGAGAAGATGTGTCGTAATTTCCCGAACGCTGCCCAGCCGATTTGAATCCGTCGATTGACCTCTCGGTCGAAGTTGGACTTACCTAGTCGGACTATTTGCCCGACTAGGTAAGTCCTAACTATTTATCATTGTGTAATAACATAGATAAGGCATGTTAATTCCTAGTCATTTTATTATGATGTATACTACTTACTAATCAACCAAAACATATTAAAACAATGTCTTGACACCGCTGCTGTCTATATATGTCAGTCAACCATCAAAGTTCAAAAAATTTATTAAATTAAGTTTGCATAAAAGGGGTTATTATAGTATAAAGGAATTTATGGCTGACAATAATCCGTGGGTAAGGTGATCGCTACCAAGCTATTTCTAATTTGTTCTGTGTTGTTAATTATGACATACATGATTGTAAGCTGGCTTTTTTTTAAAAGACCCACTGGGTATTTTGCTGGTTCCCTTCAAGTCAGAGGTTTTTTCCGAACCAGTGGTTAATTAAAAAAGTGACTTTCAATAAGTATTATTTATAATCTAAATTGAATAAAAGGTTTCTGTTTCTGTACCTACTACTGTTAATAGAATACTTAAATAAATTATAATTTACAATAATAAATAGAGTTACCTACATTATATTTTGTTTTTTGTAATACAACCAGTTTAAAACATTTCTTACTGTGTGTTGGTAATATCATAAATATAAATAGAGAATATAATTATCCCTTAACTATCTTGGTATATAGAATTACACTCACAATCAATCAATACATTTCAAAAATAGAATCCATACCACATTCGTGCACAGACAGGCACTATGTTTTGCCGGAACTAGTGAAAAGTTTTACATCGATTTTAAAATATTTATAAATGCTGAATATAACTACTTAGATTTATATGTACTATTATTATATTATTATTCAAGTTATTCAAGTATGCACTATTTTAACTTATAATACCGATGAATACCTATTACGACTTGCGCGTGACTGAGAACGTGGGCAAAGCCAAGGGTACAGCTATAGTTTATAAAGATTTTTTTTAAAGTGATTTGCAATATCATTGTTAATTCAGTGTACCCTTGGGATCCGGTGCATTCCGACCGGATCGGTGAAATATACGGGTTGAAAAGTTTTTTTTTGTATAGGTGTTGAGTCTAGGTAACATATAGGCTATAATTTATTTTGGAAAATGGAACACCTGATGCAGAACCGCAAGAGACCAGCTAAAGTATAAGAGATATAAAAATGGTGCCATAGCAAAAATATTCTACGTGAAGAGTTTTTTCTGCTGTGAGAATAAATTTGAAGATCTGGAACACCTGTTGTGGAACTCCAAAGCCCAGCGACATTATAGCATATATAATATATTAATACTTCATAGTGAGCTTTGTGATCGGTGGCGTGCCCAAAATATTGTGTCGCGTGCCGTCGATGGTACGTGTGCCATTGGTTGACCTAGACGGTCCCCGCCATTATATCAGATTTGATAGACCACAAATCCTCGTGAAAGAACAGCGACTCCTACCAAGGATGATACGTGAGGCTATTGAAATTAAAAAAAAAAACATCCTAATTTGGTAATTTTATACTTTCGCGGTCCCCTCGATTTTTGGCTCTAGAAAATCGAAAAGTCATCCGATTTTGGTGATTATTTTTGAAATCTTCGTTTTTTGGCGAATTTATGAAAAAAAAATGTGGAAAATATCTCACCTGAAAATTTAATATAGTTTTATGACTAAATGTATGCATAAACATATATATTGACATTGCGGTAGATATTGCTACACCAAACCGCCAAGCGCTCATGGCACTGCGGAGACAGCGAGTGTCGTCACTATTGTTTATCAACTTTTCTAGATATTTATTATATGCTAAGTTTATATAGATATATAAATTACTATTTTAAAATGTCAGTTTTAAACGCAATTGAGGGAGGGCGGTAGGTGCTCTTCAATTCAGGTAAGACCCATCATTGTATTTAGTTAGCGGAAGGTTGCAAATTAATCAATATCTTTATTAGTCTAGTTATAACACTATTTTTGCTCGGACGAGTATACTGCATCACGGCGCAGCGGTAATTGCTCTGTCGAGGTCAGACTTTGTCATTACAGGCACGGGACCGGCTCGGTGAAACATTATCTGTCCAGAAAGAGTATCGATCTCTTTCTAGACAGATAATGTTCTTTAAAATACAGTCAATGTCATTAATTTGTTTTTTATACGTTTTAACCATGTTTTAGCACATGTAAGCTTATTAAATGTAAACGTTTATTAAGAAACAGACTGACTCCCGTGACCGTGGGACATGGTAGATAGCTCAGTTGGTTAGAGCATCGGCACGGATCGCTAACTAGATAAGCGATCGACGATACGAACCTATGCGTAACCGCCTTGAATCAGAAAGGGTTGCAATATTACTCTTTATTAAGTTTAAGTGCTCCCATTTTTAACTTCACTTACTAATATGAAAATTAGTAAGTTAAGTTACTTTATCATTGTTTTAATTATTCATTTTTATACTATATTTATATAAGATCTTAGACCCGCATCCACGGATTTGAACCTTCAAAAATCCGCATCCGCATTCACATCCGCGGATGTGGAAAAATTGGCATCCGCAATATCCCTAGTTCAACCCCACCCGGTGTCAGTTGATTTTTTAAATTTCTCATTAAATGTTGAGGCGTTTATTAATTTGGTTGGTCTTTACTATGGCTATGTTTCATTTCAAGCTCAAAATGTAAATACTCTGTTAAGTTGTTCTAATATCTAAAATAACGTTTAATAAATAGCAATAGGCTAATTGCGAGACTCTTGCTGCAAGACCAAGACCAAGACTGGGAGCGCAATACCAAGACCAGGTGTACTGGCGCACCAAGACTGGCTAAGTCTCGTTTTGTTTTTGCATTTGGGAAAAACTAGTTCTTACCTACAACACGTACGAATTAACTTGAGACTCCGCTGGAATGCGACCCCCTTCCCGACTCCCTGCACCGCGTCCCGCGCTGGCCGTGCGCGCTCGGTACCGATAGCATTTTTGTTACGGATACGCGTCTCGACTCTAGTTCGATATTTTTGATACGTATTGTGTACGAATCTGTAACACTTTTTATAGTGCAATAAAGTGTATAATAAATAAATTAATAATATTATAAATGAGAAAGTGTGTATGTTTATTTCTTTGTCCTTCCTTGACGCATTAACTAAAAATAATATTATATATATTATAAAAAATAAATATTTAAAATATATAAAAATGGCAACAGTATATCACTTATTACTTCACCCCTTGCCAGAACATTTTATTTTGTTTTTATTAATACTCTCATGCAAATCTCAAAAATTTCAAATAAAAAAATATTACGACGCATTATTTTGCACATCGTACATTGACAATTACGTCATCGGCCCAGGTCTCAAGTTAATTCGTAGGAGTTATATACACCATTTAAATACACACTGGATTGTGAGTACATAAAAGGTAATAAATATTATTAAGCGTGGACAAAATGTCATACGTAATAAGTATATTAAAATAATAAATATTGAAAGGGATAACATTGAATAAAATCAAAAATTCCTAATGTAACCTTGTATATTTTTGAAACACCACATTTTTCCCATAAAATAATATTTTTAAATGCAGATAACATTATTATAACAAAGAAAAAAAAACCAAAGCGTATTTAAATAAAATAGCTTTACTTATTTTACAATAACGAGACTTAATTACAAGTAAAACACATTGCAACAAACCAATTAACAGAACATTTATTAGTTAAAAGTTTAGATTTTTTCCCCTAATGATGCACACACACAATTAGATTGAATTAGAGGAATAACAAAACGTAAATAATGGGATCAGAGAAAAAATTGTGATTTTATTTCAAAAGCATAATCTTAGAGTGTAAATTGTCTCCACTGCCCAAAATAGCTTAATTATAATTATATACCGAATGTATTTCTTATAATATTATTATATTGTCTTTCTTTTTAATTCCTACACGGTAATTGTATTTTTAAATATCAGAATTGTATATGCCTGGCCATATATAGAAATGAAAGGCTCCATGATTCAACACATACGAGATTTACAATACTCTTAGTGATGTGAAGTCTTTAATAATTTTTTGTTAATAGCTTAGAACAATTACGAGCCATGTATGTTTTTGGCCACCCATAAACGAATTACTGCGGCTTTCATTTTAGTGATTTAGTAACAAGTTCAACCAAGTTAAGCATTTGCCAAATCCAAAATCAGGAAATGAAACAAGCCAAATTAGGGTGTCTCCAAAACAAATTAGGGTGTCTCCAAAACAAATTAGGGTGTCTCCAAAACAAAATAGGGTGTCTCCAAAACAAATTAGGGTGTCTCCAAAACAAATTAGAGTGCCTCCGAAACAAATTAGGGTGTCTCTAAAACAAATTAGGGTGTCTACAAACCAAATTAGGGTGTCTACAGACCAAAATCAGGGTCTGATTCATACCAATATGACATTATTTACAGTTAATTATTATTAACGAGAAATAGGCGCTATTTAAACGTTAATGTTCACGCCTTGGTTAATGAAAAATCTATTTTTTGGAACTTAGGGCTGGTGCGGATTTACGGAAGTCTACCTGCAGAAACATGTATCACTGTTTTAAAAGAAAAATTATCAGAATACGAGCTATCTTTGGATAAGAATGTAATCTGTATTACCACAGATAGTGCCAAAGTCATGGTAAAAGTTGGGAAACTCATCAAACCCCATCAACAACTCTGTTATGCACATGGCATCCAATTGGCTGTTTTGGATGTTATTTATAAACAAAATACTTCTTCACGTAGTGGCCACGAAGCATCAAATGAAGAAATGTCAGTGCGAAATGAGACAGTTAGTGAAAGAGCTGATGAGAATTGTGACAATGACTTGGAAAATGACGAAAATGACTAAATTATTAATAATTTAATATAATAATTAAATATATAATAATTTAAATTTTTTTACTTTGAGTAAGATTTACAAAAGTATAATATAGACACCACAAACAATTAAACTTGACGTAATTTACTTCACTTCATTCGTAATACAATCGTCACATTTCAGGTATGTTATTGGTAAAAATACACCGTATCTATAGTTATTATATAGACAAAAGATTTTAATATTCCGTGGATAAAAGATCCAGACTTTTGGTATATACTTAATATTGAAAATCAAGCAATGAATTACAAGATAAAATATTGTCATTTCTATTAATGTGCCTGTGTATCATTCTGCCGAGATAAAAAATTACAACTACTGATAGGTTTAAACTGCTGCAACGTCTAGTTTGCCTTTCGGAAGTATTCTTTGCTCTCAGCGGGGCTCGGCTTGATGGTGGCAGAGTTTGTTTCTGGGTTCCAATTGGCTGGGCATACTGTGAAAGATATATATACAAGTGAGATAAAACAAAAAATATGTACTTAGTATAATCTATCTACATTTTTTAACAATCACTTTCTCCATATTATAATTTACTAGATGCCTCTTCTGCTCAGAAGTTTTTCTGGGTATGTAATATTTCTGCCGTATTTCAAATTGAAGCAATAGACAGACAATGTAAATAAGATGTCGATGAGTAAGAAGGTCCCGTTTTCAATGGACACCTTCAAGAAACAAACACAAGTAAATACAAACATTGAGTTATAATACCTTAAATACCTATAATGGTTCTCGTTGAACAACGGGCTTTCATATTAAGGCATTTTTTTGAACTGGATATGATGAAGTGTTTTTTTTTAAATAGAATAACGGAGACAAACGAGCACACGGTCCACCTAATGGTAAGTGGATGCTGTGCTCATAGACATCTATCCTCAATTACGAATCAAAATGCAAATGTGTTGTCACCCGTGAGGACTAATACGGAATGCCTCCTTTCCAGTAAAAAGGGTTTCTAGTTCTCTATACTCACCATATGAAACACAGGAGTATTAAGCTGCTATTTTACGCTTGTATTCTGTGAGAGTGTGGTAGGACAACAATCTCACAGAATACTCTGGTCGAGCCAACCCATTCATGCTACTGTGGCCGTGGAAGGAAAAGGCGAGATCTCCCGCCGGGCAAAGTCTTATGCCCGGGGAGCGACCAACGCTCCATTGTGTTAGTTCGGAGATGTTCTATATATACTGTTTATGATTCGGAATTTTGATAGCGTGATTTAGGCTTCGGTGTGCTTCGCTTGGGGCGCGACGACAGCGCCGCCAAACTACAATCAAATATAGCTGCAGCGTAACTTTACTACGTAAAAAGAACTTAAATAGTAATGATGCATATTGATAAAATAAGCAATAATGGGACAGGAAATAAAACCTCTTAGAATTATTACGTCATTAGGTAGGCATTTTTTAAGTAAATGTGTAATACACCCACAGTGCAAAGAAACAATGGATTTTCTTTATACCTATATTAAATATTAAATAAAAACCGTGTAGTGGCATTATAGGAATATCCACTAATCCATATCATCTCGTGGCTGTCGTAAGAGGTGACAAAGGGAAACAAATCAAAACACTGGCAGCAAAGTTTTTCTAATAACACATTAAAAAAAACTGCGGTTGCCAAGCGTGTCGACTATGGCAAAATACCTCCTATGAGGCAATCCATAGAATACTATAATACATACATAATAGAACAGTGGGTGGAGCCCGCGTAGCCACTAAAATGTCGCTAACATGTCAATTCACACATATAAATGTCAACACAAGATGTTTTTTGACGTTACAATCGTTTCCAAATTTTGCATGCAAATTATATAGAAAATGCCAAATTGCACCCTATTTACAAATAAATATGTATTGAAATTTAAACGATTTTTTTAAATGATGATCTTAAACATTCATCAAGTCTAAAATGTGTAAATTTACTCAGTCCGTCAACACAGCGAATAGGGTTTGGCGACGCCAATCCTCGTACAAAATAAGGTTGACAGCCATTCTTCTGTGTATTATAGTATTCTATGAGGCAATCTATGGGGGAGAAGTGGACTTTAGTAAGCTGTAACGGTAAAAATTAATCTACCTTCCCCATGTTTGTCAGCAAACTGGAAAGCTTTGACCAATCTCAGAGTCTCCTCCACAGACCTGCCAACTGGTAAGTCATTGACAGACATGTGCCTCAGAACACCATTTCCATCTATGATGAACAGACCTGTAAAAATTTAAATTTAGTTCCCGAGCAGGCCAGGCGTACTTTGCACTTTAGGTACGAAGTTATAAGTACATCGACAGTCTTATTCAGAGGGTTGCCACGCACCGCATGAAATGAGCGCTTTCACAGCTTTTTCTGCTACCAAAACGACTCCACTCAGAAATGAGGTGAAATATTTGAACAGATCTCATGGAGGGGAGGTTAAATTGTTAGGAAATTATAAAGTTTATTGTTTCTTTATGAAATATTTGTTATATTTTACATTAATTAGATTATGCCCGGACATTTTAAATCATTTAGATGTGTCTGTCCCCAGAGCTGGCAGTCGCTTGGGCCGCAAAAAGACTTTTGTCACGTAACACTGTAAAACAGTGGCGGGTCATCACACGCCATTGTACAGAATGACTAATAGTTACAATAATATTTGTGATTTGTTCGACATCTTTCATGGTTCTAAGGCCTCAGCAAGGGCTAACATTAGATTAGCCATTAATTGATTAATATTTATTACTTTAGAGTTTTTTTCATTTCTTAATTTGTATTTGTTATCATGTCCACTTGTTGCATGCTGTGCTCACTGTTATTATAATGAACGTTTGTTTGTTACTTTTTTTATGTTCCTCAACCATGTAAACATTACATTCCATTTGTGAACCAAATACAAAAAAAAAATATTAAAATGATCTAACCGGTTTGGTTAGATCATTTTAATACTTTTTTTTTGGATGGAGGGGAGGTTAAATTGTTAGGAAATTATAAAGTTTATTGTTTCTTTATGAAATATTTGTTATATTTTACATTAATTAGATTATGCCCGGACATTTTAAATCATTTAGATGTGTCGGTCCCCAGAGCTGGCAGTCGCTTGGGCCGCAAAAAAGACTTTTGTCACGTAACACTGTAAAACAGTGGCGGGTCCATCACACGCCATTGTACAGAATGACTAATACTTACAATAATATTTGTGATTTGTTCGACATCTTTCATGGTTCTAAGGCCTCAGCAAGGGCTAACATTAGATTAGCCATTAATTAATTAATATTTATTACTTTAGAGTTTTTTTCATTTCTTAATTTGTATTTGTTATCATGTCCACTTGTTGCATGCTGTAGGTATTCACTGTTATTAGAATGAACGTTTGTTTCTTTTTTATGTTACCTCAACCATGTAAACATTACATTCCATTTGTGAACCAAATACAAAAAAAAAATATTAAAATGATCTAACCAAACCACAGATATTACTTTAAGTTAAAGAATAAAGAGTTAAAAAAGGAATAAACCTACGCTTGAAATGCAACTTTTCACATGTCACACGACACTGTGTAACAAATAACTTCACCTCAGTCCAACTGGCTATCTTGTGTTTTGTTCGCGTCGTACAATATTCCAGATGATACGCATGTATATTAATGCCCCATTTACACTCAGACTTGTTGGGCAGTGAAGTGGGCAGGGCAGTATGTAAATAGGCTACTCGCGCTGTTACTGACCATGCCGCTGCCGCTGCCTGGCGCTCCCTCGATTGTCGGTTTTGCGCGCGGAAGTCAAAGGACGGGGAGCGTACGCAGGAGCGTGTTTTTTTCGCTCATTTGCCGCCGAAGTTCGACTGAGAAAGAACGTGCTACGTTTAAAAACGGCAATTCTTTTATTAATTTGTCCACACAGGACAGACTACTACTTACTAATTATCATTAAACACTTTAATGATAATTAGTAATGATAAAACAATGACATTTTTAGAATTTTATGAAATTGAGCAGGTAATATACGATGCTTATGACAAAAACTATAAATTGCACGTAGTAGCTACTCATACTGAGCAGACATAATGCTGTATACACAAACAAATTCGACGTCAGTCATTGTTGGTAATTGATCAATAAAGAAGTATGAAGGCTGAGTGTGAACACCCACTCGCGTCTTTATGCCGCAGAAGTATATAGGAAATTATTTCCGGCAGCGACAAGAGCAGTAGCAGTGGCTGAGTGTAAATGGGGCATAAATTCTTAAATACTTAAATTGAGTTTCACAGACAAGATATAATACACTTAAGTGTATGTAGTATGCCTATCTACTTAGTTTAAAATAAGCAGACCTTGTAAAATAGTAAGTTATTGTTCATTAAAGGAGAACAATAATAATAGCACGCAACTCTTAAGAGGGCATATGCTATTTGCGTCGAAAACTTCATGTTTTAGGGTTTTTTCAAGGGCGATATCGTAACGATGTGAGCAAATTATTTGCAGGAATTACGGATTTAGAAAGATAAAGTCTTTATTTAGTACATTGCACCGGAAAATCAGTTTTTAATGACGGTTTTTCAGACCGAAGACAATCCCTTCATAGCGTTTTACGAAAATATGCGTCAGAATTATCTTTCAGGTGGAAAACAACCATGATTATAAGCTAAAATACTTTATTTTAAACATTATTATAATAGAATATATAGTCATTTAGTGTATAGCAAAGCTTAAATTACGAAAATATTTCGATTTAATATTAAAAAACAATACTATAAAATCACCAAAACTGTCCACTTCAATGTAATTTTTTTCCGTGTATTGGGATATAAACTTATCTATTTTAATTATTTTATCAATACAGGTAATGTTAAATATCCAAAAAAAATTTAGCTCGTTTTATTTAGTCAATTATTTTATATGATTATTTTATAAATAATATAAATCATCACGCGCAAACGCACGCCGTCCGATTCAGTACACTCCGGGTCTTCCCAACGACAGGACGTATCACTTTTCCCCGCCACAGCCCGCGTACGTGTTAATTCACGCCGATAGCATAAGGTAGTGTTGCCAAGTGTCCCGATTTGTGTGGGATTTGTCCCGATCAATGATAAATCGAGACGCCATATGTCCCGAATTTTCACTAACTAGTCTATATTTTGATCGATCATTTCGACAGCAAAATTGAATATGTCTTATATCGAGCTTTGCATATTTTCTCACCAAACTTGGACTAAATAGGCAACATCAAAGTTTGCTTTGCGCGTAATGTGATGGCATGGCAAGATGCAGATATCAATCATGTTTAATTGTTTTTTTCTCTCACCGTCTGATGCATGTCGCCGGTTTGCGCTATGCATCGTAATAATAATCAGTACAATATCACTTACATGCTGCTCTTAAGTACATTTAGTAAAATGCAAAAGGCTTGTGGAAAAGTTCTTCCACCAGTCAATTTCTTTGTAGTAATTGTTTATAGGTACTGTTGTTTTCAATAAATAAAGTAACATTATATGTCCGATGCAAGGATCTTATCTAGGCTATCAAGGTGTGAGGTATTAAAACCGTTGGAACTATGCCGTTCTTTTTTAAAGGTTCTTTGAAGTGCATGAATTGTGAGTTCATAAGATTTATTACTATTTTCACAGTTATGTTATTCGTTAATTTGATCAGTTCTATATAATAATTATAAAACAAATTGCGAATTGTGTCAAAAAACCTGTATAACTAATAGCGACCACAATGGCTACATAAATCTGTTTTTTTTTGTAGCTATTGTAATTGTCCCGATTTTAAAACATAATATTATTTAAATTAATTATTAATAATTTTTCAAGTTTATTTAATAGTAAGCAATTTATAACTAAAATATTTATCACTACAAAAGATATATTTGACGGCTCCGTGGTGGAGTGGCTTAGCAATAAGTTTAACTCTAAACTTGTGAAATTTTATGTTCTTATGTTAACTGCCTCCACTATATACTTAGGAAACATTCTTAGTGTGGAGGTAACGTTATTATAAAATAGAAACAAAACAGATATGAGCCATGGTAGCTCAAGGGCAAAGTGCTCGCCGTAAACGCGAGCAACCCGGCTCCGATCCCCGCAGACACCAATGAAATTGCGAGCGCTCCGCGTGCGGACGTGTGTTAGATATTATTACTTATCGGAGTTTGTGTTCCTACGCTTGTCGAAAAAAAAAATGGTGCAGTGCAAAAAATGTAAACTGTTTTTATCAATGGCTAAGGACGAGGTATTAAAATGTAAAGGTGGATGTGAAAGTGTGTATCATAAGAAATGTGTGAGAAACTCAAAGCAATCCCTGCAAACCGAAGTATGTGAGGAGTGTCAAAAGTCGAGCTCTAAAATACAATCACGGATCATCGACATAGATCCGCACAACATTACAGTAGAATCACTATTAGTTGAGGTGAACAATAAATTGAAGGTGATATTCCAGGTCGAAAAAAACTTGATGAACTTGTGAAGACAGTTGATTTTTTTATGCTGAGCAGTACCAAGAAATGCTGGAATTCAAAAAGACTGCGGAAAATAAAATAAAAGCGTTAGAACAAAAGAACGTATACCTTGAGAAATGCAATGCTGCAATAGAGGAAAGAGTTGTTAACTTGGAGAAGAACGAAAAAGAAAAAAAATTAATTCTGATGAAGAACAAAGATAATGAAAATATAAAAGAGGTAGTCAAAGATGTTGCCATAAAGCTTAGTTTGAACCCAGAAGACATAGAAAGTGTCGAAAGAAGGAGCCCACCAACCACAACAAAGACGAGGATAGAACGACCAAGCCCAGTTATAGTGAATCTGCGGCCAAAGCAAGCTCGAGATCAATTAGAAGAGTTCAACTAACCAATGGCGATGTATATGGCAACGACAACAACATGCGTATATACATAAATGAAGATTTAACCAAAGAGACCAGAGTACTATTCTGGGAAGCCAGGAATCAATTAAAGCAATTATACCGCATACAGCAAAAATTCATCAATTATCTAAATTATCGTTTTTTCAAATCACCACTTGTAACCTATGAAAATACTTGTCAATCTTATAATTTATTGACACTCGAAAACAGACGTAAATTAATGGACGTATGTTTTTTGTATGATATTGTCCGTGGACAGGTAGACTGCCCTGAGTTGGTGGCGAGCATAACATACAAAGTACCGTCGCGTCGTGTTCGCCGTCGGCCGCACCCTTTATTGCATGTGCCGTTTGCTGGCACTAATTATGCAC